GGGGGGGGAAAGGGAACAGACTGTGTTTTTTGTAAAACCAGCTAACAGAGACACACGTGAGAAGAGAGCCAGCAGCCTGTGTCCCCCAAGAAAGGCCTCAAGGCTTCAAGCCTCAGCTAAGCTTGGCAAGAATGTCAATCATGACCTTCCACCACTTCAGGCGGAAGTCAAAGCAAAGCCTCAGGGGAATGATTTCTACAAAGCAGCAGAAAACATAGGCAACACCACCAGCAAAGTGGACAATGCTAACACTATGGCAAACAGATTCAGGCTTTCCCGGGACAAAAGAGTAGCAAAATCTCTAGCAATTATTGTCTGTGTGTTTGGTCTGTGCTGGGCTCCATACACCCTTCTGATGATCATCAGAGCAGCTTGTGGAGGGCACTGTGTGCCTCATTCCCTCTATGAGACTTCCTTTTGGCTTCTGTGGGTCAACTCAGCCATCAACCCTGTTCTATACCCACTGTGTCACATGAGCTTTAGGAAAGCCTTTGTAAAACTCCTGTGTCCAGCGAAGGCCAAAATTCATCCTCACATTTTTATGTGACAAGTATGAAGCTGACAATGAGCACATCTTGCTTTTGGTGAGAGCACCAAAAAGCAAGTATTGCAGTACCTGCAAAGATCAAGAGCACTGAGTATTTTGTGGACTACTGATAAGTAGGTACAAGTGTAGATATTTATCAATATATAGAAATAGTGTTATCCATGTAGCTGGAGAAATCACAGCAGTGAAAAGAAAGGTAATTTCTCAAAGCTCTTTGAGAATTTGCACCAACACTGTTTACTGGTAGTGGTGATTTGCACTCAAGTGCTGAAAAGGGAATACAACATACATAGCCAATAATTAGAGTTCAGGCTGTCACTTTTAATGACTGTAAATATCACTTGTAAGTAATTTCAGAAAAAGTGTTAACTTTGGACCTGTTTTATCTTACCCCAAACCCACTCTAAGACACCAAAGGGCTCAGGTGTTAGGTGTAGGATACTTTCTCCCCCACTTAGTGGCAAGCCAGGCAAGATCATGACCAATGCAAAAAACTAACTGCTGGTGTCCGGGAAAAGCCTGGGACAGGAGGCACCACAACAGCAATGCAAAAAACTAACTGCTGGTGTCCAGGAAAAGCCTGGGACGGGAGGCACCACAACCATGAGGCTACCAGAGCAGCTGAGCAACTGTAGCAGGTAAGGGAGCACTGACTGGAGTGAAAAGGTGATTGAGAAATAACAGAGTAGAGTATTTAACAAAAGCTCAGGAGCAGAAGTACAAAAAAGGTTTTGAGCTTTGTGATAGGAGATATGAGAATTGATACTTTATACACTGGAAGAGTCCCAGGAGCAGTTCCCTTCCTCAGCTATGCCTTCCTGCCCCCACCAGGATCCTGCATGGCCAGGAAACCACTCAAGTCAAAACTCTACAGCTTAGGGGACTGAGGACTGACTCTGTTTGGCTGTAAGGACAGAGTAAGCCTAAGCAGTCTAATTGATACTTTATACACTGGAAGAGTCCCAGGAGCAGTTCCCTTCCTCAGCTATGCCTTCCTGCCCCCACCAGGATCCTGCATGGCCAGGAAACCACTCAAGTCAAAACTCTACAGCTTAGGGGACTGAGGACTGACTCTGTTTGGCTGTACAGACAGAGTAAGCCTAAGCAGCCTATGAGATGTATGACAGACAGATCTTGCAACAGACAGAACTTTAGGTAAACTTCCCTTAAGAGTAATTTTCAAAACATTTCCAATTGGACTTTTACTAGTTCTGAAAGAAAAAAAAGTGTTGTTGTCCCCTACCCCACCTACTGGATCTATCCACCCATCAAGCCATCAGTGATCAAAAAAGTATTCCTTGTGTTGAGCCATCTCCTGTTTTCCCCCACCTACTGGATCTATCCACCCATCAATGATCAAAAAAGTATTCGTGTTGAGCCATCTCTCAGGTCATGCAGCATGAATGGCATGACAGTCTGTGAAATGCACAGCCTTGCTACTGACCCTGAGTGTGAAAGACAAGAACACAACTACATACTGTTTCTGCCATTCTGCCTCAGGAGAAGCTCACACAGCTAGATCCTGACACCTACTGGATCTATCCACCCATCAATGATCAAAAAAGTATTCGTGTTGAGCCATCTCTCAGGTCATGCAGCATGAATGGCATGACAGTCTGTGAAATGCACAGCCTTGCTACTGACCCTGAGTGTGAAAGACAAGAACACAACTACATACTGTTTCTGCCATTCTGCCTCAGGAGAAGCTCACACAGCTAGATCCTGAGTTTTGGCTAGATTTGGCCCACAAGGTGTGAATGTGAACATTAGTGATAGAAGTTTGTTCCACCATCAGCAGCACTTATTACACAGCTTAACACTTTCCTTTGCTGACAAGGGATAGCTGCAGTTGTCCATTGCCACACCCAAAATGCATGTTAGCACCATTGATCTGAAAGTTTACAGACACTATTTTGAAATTATTTACTTTGTAAAAGTTCAATAAAAATAATTAAAAGCTGTGGAAGAGTCATAACTTTGTAGCATTAACAGTGGGAGATGGGAAAAATGCACCAATCTACATTTGGGTAATTGCAGTTGAAACTGCAAAACTTAATCCAAAAGAGAATTCCTAAATTACAAGGACTGACACTGAGGATTAAACACACGTGGTTAGCAAATACTATAAACTAGGAAGACACATCCCTACACTATGAATGTACCTACATGGGCAGCATGTGCTGCTAAGGATGTGCTCTAACAAAACAGCTAAACAGTTCTCTTAAGAGGAACAGCACCAACAGACACAGAGCAACATTAAGACTTTTCAATTAGCATTAATTATACCTCTGGGAAAGAAAAGCCCTTGGATTACCTCCCCATTTCTCCTTCCCTCCAAGCCACACTTACTCATCACTATATCAATAACCTAATTGTCCACCCTGCAATTCTTGTTTTCTAGGATCACATTTGCTTTCCAGAACACAGGTAGCACTAAATTACTGGACAGTCCCACCAAAGTTATTTACTATGCACTCAAGCCAGGACACGTTTTCAGACAGCAATGCTCACTCAAGGAGTAAGGCAATCCAACCAGTTGTCTTTAGAACACTACATTCAGTAATTACTGGTTTACCTATCAGACATTTCAAGACCTCCAGCAACTGGCATTAACCTACAGCCTAGACCACCTTCACAGGAGCTGCCACTGCTCTGCTGCTCAGTTTCCTGCAGCTTTGTTGGTTAACTGCCACAGAATCCAGGAGGATTCCTCATCACTCAGGGTATGTCAAAGGCATTCTGAAATGTGAACACACATCATCTCAGCATCCTTTGGGAAAACACTGGTTTTGAATGACAAACTTGTACATTAGGAATGCTAGCAGCCTCCCAGCCTGGCCAGGTTAGCTGTGCCTTGATTCTTCTGCCCCTACACAACAGCAGCTCTTTTCACTTTCATCAGAAGGTTCCACATTAGCTCTGGGTTCAACACTGGGCTCTGAAGAGACATGAAACCACAGTTGTTAATAGCAACTTTATTGTTTCACTGGTGCAAAATCATGATACTGAATAAACTCGTGTAATGCATTTTCCCCTAAATTTACAGTAATGAAGGTTATACATATCTATATAGATTGCAATTTCTCTATTATTTTATACTATTTGGAACAAAATTATCTTGATAAATACGCCCTGTGCACAGTACTGGCCCTCACTGAATGTCACAGAGCCTTAATATGCAAAATATAACTTCTGGTTTTGAACATGGTACTTTAAAACTCTCCAGAACATGCATTAATATATTCTAGTTTTTAGGGAAAAATATTACACTTAGTCTTAACTTGCATTAAAAGAAAAGCACAAGCAGAATTTGACATACAATAATCCCAAAAATCTGATGCTCTGTAAAGATCAGACACAGTTTCAGATGACAGTCACTGCCAGTTTAGAGCTCTAGTGCTACAGAAGCAACAGTGAACAGACAGAAGAGAAATCAGAACCAAAGAGCCCTACCATGTCACATGGATTCCAAAGAAAGTTTCAGCCATGCTAACTGATGAAACCTGTAGTTGCTGGTCCAACCTTTCCAATTTGTTAGAGTACTCAACACAAGTGTTTGAAGTGCCAGACTGAACACATGAATGTTAACTCAACTTGACATTGCTGAAAGGCACAACCTAGGAATCTATCTTAAAAAAAAAACATAGGGGATGTAAATGAAAACAAGAACAGTGTGTGTCTTCCTAAAGAACAAGACCTTCATAAATTGGCCCCTCAGATTCTGGTGATTCCCTCCTCAGACGCAAGTGCTCCAGTGTGTTGTGAAAATGTTTGTTAATTTGTTCAGTTTCTTCAGTAGACTCAAGGTTTGGGAGATCTTCTCTGATCTTCTGTATAAGCTGATTCAAAACCTGAATTGTCACCTATAGAAAGCAAACAGAAGTAGTTAGCAATACCACCCATGTACAAGTGCATAGCTGTTAGTTTCAACAGATTGTCTCTCTATGTATTTGGACAGTTCTTCCAAGTATTGCTAAGACTAAGCAGAGAAGCTGCTGGGGTCTGCTTTCTCTTGCTCCTCATAGGACCTTTCCCATTTCAGTTTTGTGGAAATTCCCCCATCCCAGCAAATGTGAACAACTTCAGTCATTAGCCTGATAGCTCTGGAACTGTTACCACAGCACTTCTCTCCAATGTATTCAACAACTGTAAAAGGCTTGAAACAAATGATGCGACAGCACTTCTCTCCAATGTATTCAACACAACTGTAAAAGGCTTTAAACAAATGATGCACATAATCAGATTGTCTGTGCACTCCAACATTCTTGTACAAGTCAGTCAGGAGGGCAAGACCAATCTACTCAGTGCTCAAGTCATCCCCTGGGAAGGCACAGCTGCCCAGGGTCTGAAGCTCAGCACCACACACCACCACAGCACCCAGAGACTACTTTATCATCTGCCAAGTGCTTTGAAATTCAAAGCTTTATTTTCATCTCCATCAGATACAGCATCTCCTATACCAGAGCACTACCACAGTGAGAAGCCAGTTCAGTTGTTGGAAGCCAGCAAATCCCTAAAATATCTTTAGGAATTCTCTCAGAACTACAGAGCATTCATGTCTGCTCTCAAGACAACAATGACATCAGATGAGACACTGATCTCCACTTGACCAAGGAGCTTTTTCAAACTGTATAACTGCGCTAGTTATCTTCTAACAGAAAATGTGTAAGGTAACAATCTAAGGTTTCATACAGAATTTAAGGTGGTACATGAAATGTCCTATGTATTTTGGAAATTAAAACTTGCACTAACCTAGTATATCCAGCAGTGACTGAACAGTTGCAGAACATTTTCTTTCCCTCATGTACACATTAAGTTCAACACCTCTAAAGTCAGAATCTTGCCACCTTCTCATCTGAGACCCAGTAAGTTTTGATGTAAAACATTTCAGGTATCCAACTCTCACAGTATTTAAGTTCATAAATAAACTGCAAAGGTTTGGCATTCCCCCTCCATGTAAGCAGAATGAAGTTTAATCCACAGTTTTAGTAGAATATCAA